TGAACAAAAGATACTTTTAACAAATAACATATCTTTCTCTGGGCTCTTGCGGCAGGTATATGTACGGAAATACTAGAGCAACCACCAAATGCGTTTATGGTTTCTAGTTCATATTTTATTAATATGCTGGAAAAAAATGGCAAATAAATGCAAGTGAGTACTGTAAAAATTAAAAATAATGTTGTCAATTCTACTGTCTACATCGGTTTAGAAATGAGAGTTGTATGTTACTATGCTAATTGGTCGTTATATCGTGAAGCAATGCCAATATTGTATCCTGATCAAATTGATCCTACACTTTGTACACACATTCACTATGCCTTCGCTGATATAGATCCGTTAACATTGAACATTATACCCACTGAATTGCATGATGTTCAATGGACAGATCGACATAGTATGGCAAGTGTACTATTATATCTATATTATAATTTTAAAGTAAAAAATATGATGAATTATTTTAGCCTTTATATTTACGAATGTATGGTTTAAAAAGACGTAATCCGAGTTTAAAAATAATATTGGCAGTCGGTGGATGGACGGCAAGGAGCAAAGGATTCAATGCTGTGTTACGCAGTGATACAAGTCGAGCGAAATTTATTAATCAAACAATACAATACATAAATGAATGGAATTTTGACGGATTAGACCTAGTAATTATAGTATACTATGTGTTCATGTTAAAACATAGAGAGATCAGAAGAAAAACAGAAACGAAGCATAGTACAGAGTCTTATTTACATAGGTGCTAGAGTTGAATTGAAGAATCAAGTGTCTTTTTATTTGTTTGAAGGATTGGGAGTTTCCTGGTGATAGAGATCGAGATGCTGCTCCCGATAGTCAAATTAAATTTGATATTTTAGTTAAAGTATGTTATTATTCAAAAACTGTTTGTTTATTTTAAACATCACCATTTTAAACATCGTTTATAGGACTTATATCAAGCGTTCAACGACGAAGTTAAAAAACCAAATAATACACGACAACGTCTCATATTAACAGCAGCTGTAGCAGCAGATCCGAAAAAAATTGATCATGGCTATATTGTACAAAATCTGTGCGGGTACGATACACGAACTATTTATCTTTTTAACTGTGAAAATATAATAAAGTCTTAACTTTATTTTCAGACATTTAGATTATGTCAATATCATGACATATGACTACCATGGTAAAGTAAGTAATTGTTATAATTTTAGATTTCTTTCTAATAAGAAATACTTTTATCTTTTGTGTACAGTGGGATGATGTGACCGGTATAAATAGTCCATTGTATAGAAGTCACACACATTTAAAACATCATGAAGAATGGAAAAATGCCGTAAATATATATAACATGTATTAAAATAAAAACATTCT